GTGCGGCACGGACCCCCTGGGGGGGTCCCCCTGGTATGTGCAGGTTGTCTTCGGGGCCCGTAGCTCTTTAGGGCAAGGTCTGCGAGGGCAGGGGCTGATCCGAAGGGCGTGCGCATTTTAAATGTTCATGTGTGTTGCCGGGTCCTGCAGAAATGGGCCCTTGGACGCTACGGCGAGCACCGTGGGGAGCACCCTCCTTGCCCTCGGGCTGGGACTGTGCCCACTCAGTGTCCCCTTCCCCCGGCCCTTCGGCAGCAAGCTAGGGCCTGGCCCAGAGCCTCCGAGGGGCTCCAGCTCCGCCCCCACCCCTCCACCACAGCCCACACAGTCCCGGGGAAGGACGGGTGCAGATTCCTGCCAGGCCCACCGTGCACCACCTCGTTCCCACGGTCAGGTCCCCGCCAGCCCACCCCGAGGAGTCTCAGAGGGTTCTAGACATGCTGTCCTGGGCTGCTGGCTGGAGACCCACAGAGGAGGGCACTACATACCATGACAGGGGGCCCGGGACTCAGTCAGCGGTCAGGTCACTTGGCCAAAGCCCCCTCAGCCCCACACCCAGGCCCCCCGCAGACTGTCCTCGCCAGGGGGCCGGGAGCGTCCCCTGCCGGTCTCACATCAGCCCCCTCCCCTCCCCCGCTCCAGGCTCACCCGGCCGCCCCTTGCCTTCCTCTGTCTTGGGCCCCCATCCCGGCATCCGACCCCCACAGCCGACTGCAGCGAGTTCCCGCCCAGACCCCCGAGAACAAGGAGGCGGACGGAGGCCAGGGCCGGAGGGGAGGCGTGGGAGGCGGACCCTGTTTCCAGGCCCCTGTCTCCCCAGGCCTTCCCCGCCACCCTGTCCTTCACCAGACAGGAGAGTCCGTGCCTACGGCTCAGGGGGACCGGGAGGCTCACACCCGTGCGACCCCGGGACCCCCGGGCACCTGTCCTGTGGCATCACAGTCTCCACCGTGCTCAGAGCCACCGCCGGGCTATCTGTAGCCGAGGCACTGAATTGTCCTGTTACTGCTGAAGTTTCCTGGGCACCCCCAGTGCCAGCACCACACTGGACCCTGCTGCCCTCTGGAAGCCCCCAGCTCCCCCTCCCCCGCAGGGAGGCGGACAGCCAGCCAGCCAGCCCGCAGAGCAGCAGCCGTACTGGGGACACGTGCCCTGGTGACCCCGAACCCATGCGAGCCCGCAGACCACACGCGGGCCCCGCAGCCCCGGACGGGAAGCACCTGAAACGCCGAGCAGAACCAGACAGATCGCAGCGCATTCATCCGGCGGCACTTCCCACAGCAGGCGCCGACAAACGCGTTCTGCAGCGGGCCAGACAGCAGATACTTTACGCTTCGCGGGCCATATGGTCTCCATCGCGAAGACTCGACTCCGCCGACGCAGGGCATCGGCGGCCATAGATGATCTATGAGCGAGATGCGTGGCTCTGTTCCAATAAAACTTTATTTATGGACGCGGAAATGCGAGTACTGTACAATGTTCATGTGTCATGAAACATTCCTTTTCGGGGTGTTTTTTTTCTCCCCGGCCATTAAAATAATCTAAACACCATTCATAACTTGCAGGCCATACAAAGAGGCTGCGGGCTGGACTCAGCCTGAGGGCTGTGGTTTGCGACCCCTGGCCTTTAGCAATGAAAATAAACTTCAGGCACCCCATCCGCTGGATGTAGCTTCAAAAAGACCACACAGCCATGAGTGAAAGAAGCAGGTCACAAAAGAAGAGACACAGTATCATCCTGACAACACACACAGGGGTCAAAGACAGAGAAGGCTCTGAGGGGAGTGGGGTGCGGTGGGGGGCGGGCAGGGGCTCGGAGGCACGGGAGGGAATGTCCTCTTCCCTGACCTGGCGGAGCAGCCACATGGGACTTCGTTTTATAAAGTGTACTGTTCTTTCCTGCATGTGTATTATATGCCACAACCTCAAAAGAGAGTGCAGTGACAGTAGGACCTATGGGAACAGCATTTATAACCCGCCTGGAATTACACCCCGGTGCAGGTGTGGTGTCCCACTGCTCCGTGGGGACCCGCTGCTCTGAGGTCAAACTGTCCTCTCAGGGTCTCTCGTGGGCCCCGCCTTCCCAGCCCTGATCCCTGCTGGGCCTGCCACCCACCCACCTGCTCTCTCTCCTCCCCATCTTGCTCCCTTGCCCCCCCAACACTCTTCCCTGCCCCACCTCCAGTGGTGAGGTACTTCTCTTTGCCTGCCTCCAAAACTCTGAATGGGATTAGACAAAGAGGAGAAGCAGAGGCCAGAGCTGTGAGAAGGGGGCAGGAGGCTCCTGACCACCTTTGAACATCAAAGGGGGCCACAGCACGTGAGTCCAGAGCGCAGGGGAACAGGGAGGCAACCCCCACCCGGAACTCCCGCCTCTGGTCAGGGGTCACGTTCTCCAGGCAAACCTCTCGGTTTCCAACAGGCTGAGAGTGAGAATTGGGGCCTGTTCACTGCTAGGGCCCCCCAGGGCCTGGAACAGGTACTCCTCAATGGATATTTGAGAAATGACACAGCCCAGGGTTCTGCAAAGGCCAGGAAGAGAAAGGGGACTGACATTTGCTGAGGACATGGAGGCTCAGAAAGGTTAAGTAACTTGCCTGAGCTCACACAGCAGTCCACGGAAGAAGGCAGGACTGGCACCTGGTCTGTCTGGCCCCAAAGCCCTCGGGGGTGACTGAGGCCTGGCGGAAGCAAGGCTAGAGCAGGTGTGCAGGCTCAGGTGTTTCACCCCTGGGAGAGCAGTTGCCCGTGAGACCTCAGGTGGCTGCCAGGCCCTCTGAGAAAAGCTGAGTTTGCAGAGGGCTCAGGAGAGCCGAGGAGAGCGGGCTTGAGTCCTGGTTGACAGTAGGAGGTCCCGAGATGCCCTCCAGGGTGTGCTGGAGACCACTGAAAAGGTGGGCGTGACCCCTAGGAGCCTGTGGGCTCACCCGGATGTCACTGGCTCTCACGTTTCAGCTGGCTCTGCGGGGCTGGCAGGCGCTGCCTCCCTGAGCCCTAACCATGTGCCCCAGCACCCAGGCCGGGGTGTGCTAGCGGGCAGGCTCCACTGCCGCACTCGTTCAACAGATGAGGCACTCGACGAGGCACAGCGGCATGGAGAACCCGCCCGGGTCTCCGGGGGGGCTGCAGAACAGACTCAAACCCGGGCTGATCGCCCCTGGCCTGCCCTCGCCCTTGCATCTCACTCACGGCCGTGTAGGCGGCCCAGGCAGATGGCTAAAGGTGCTAAAGGCACTAAAGGCCCGGGGAGGTGTAGGCGATGCGGGAGGGGCGGAATTCCTCCTGTGAAGCTCAGAGACCAGGAGGAGGGGTCCTAGACCCACAGAGATGGGGCTGCAGGGGCAGGACCAGGAGGAACGGGGTGCTGTCTGCTGCTCCAAGGGGTTCCCGGGGCCAGCCACAAGGATCACTTCACCTCTTGCGAAAGGGCAGAGTTTCTCTTTTCACAGCGCTTGCTGCAATACTGGGGGAAATCTGTTGTTTGTTTGCACTCAGGACGGTTACAAAACCGCCACTCACGTCAGCACCTGCGGAGCCTCTTCCAGTGTCCAGGATGTGGCGGGTCCCTTCTGGGGACGAGGGACCACATAACGAGAAGTAATGGGAACTGGGGGAAATTAAGTTCAAAATGACTAAGAGTGAGTGCAAACGCATCGTCCCCTCGGGCCATCTTTGCGCTGGCCCGTCTCTCAGGGGTGGGAGGGGGTGCGAGGTGACCGGATTCAAGGACAGATGCCACCAGGGGCCCAGGTTTCCAGGCCTGCTGTAGGTACCACGCACTTGGCTCTTGCCTGGTGGGGGTGGGGAGGAAGGGGGGAGATTTTTCCTTGAGGAACCGTTCTTTGCAAAGAAAGCCGAGAGGAGCCCCAGGGCCCACTGCCAGTAGTCCTAGCTCTGGGCTCAGGCTGACCCGGGTCTGAACCTGACCTCTACACAGCCGAGAAGCCTCAGACACTGCTACCTGGCCTCCACAAGCCTCCATTTCCTGTCCCTCAATGGTCCTGGTGGGAAAAGCACCCCACGGGTGCCTCAAGGGGCGCTGGGTGTGCGTGAAGCCGGGGCGAGTGTGACGCTGCTCCAAGATTCATGACAATAACAGCTGTTACTGTTCGCGGCACAAACGAGAGGCGGAGGGTGGAGCGGAGCGGGGCGGCTCCTGGAAGCCTCATCCGCGTCTGGGTGAAGAGCGGGGGCTGCCTGAGCCTGCACCACGGGGGTTGGGGGGCCGGGGGGGCCTGGTAGGTGCTGCCCAGGAAGAGACTGAGCAGAGGGACCCAGTGCAGGCAGCCCTGGGGGTCCCCTGGCCTGGATAAACTCACCCCAAGGCCACCCGCCCCGGGCCCTGGCTTGACTCTGGGCCTCCAGCTTCCAAGGAGCCTGGGACCAGGAAGGTGGCACAGCGCTGGTCCCCCAAAAGGCCTAGCTCCCATCGTAAAATAACCGCGTAGCCTCTGGTTGTCCTCCAGGAAGTGGGTGGTGCCGTCCTTCCTGGGAACAGTGACAATTCTGTGCTCCAGGCGACAGTGCTTCTGGCGGCCAGCGGCTGGCCCCCCTCCTCCCCCCGGCTAGCCCCGGCAACAACACCGAGGCGGCTCTGCCACTCGGCAGGTTCAACACCTTGCTTCTACCTTAGATTCCTTGGGGGTGAGCTGTCCCTTCCCCATTGACCCCTGCCCTGACCCCGGTGCCCCCTGGCCGCAGCAGTGCCCACCCACCTGGTTTAAGGGCCGGGAGGTCAGGCAGTGCTGGGAGGGAGGTGCACAACACAGCATCGAAGGGGGAACACCACCCCCGCCTCTCCCAAAGCCACCTTGGCGAGGCATTAGCTCAACATCCCCTGGTCCCGAAGGCTTCCCCTGTGAAGTCTGCAGTGTTCAAACGCGACCAGCAAATCCCCCCAGACCAGCCGGGAATTAGCCGCCGGGGCGGGCGGGGCGGCGGGCGGATGCCAGCGGCTCTGATGTGCAGCGCCAGGGGCGCGGGAGAAGGGGGCCGCATACCTGCGGGCCGCGGGGTCCAGGGGCACAGCAGCAAGCCCAGGAGCCAGGGGGCTGCGAGGGGGCCCGGTGGGGCCCAGGGCCGCCGAGGCCGGCTCTCCATGGGGCCTCCTGGTCAGTGTCTCTGCTTCCTCTTCGGTTCCCGGGAGGGGACAGCTGCCGGTAGCCACAGTTCCCCTTCCCATCCCCGCTAAGCTCCTCCCTGGCCACCCTGCTTCCTCAAGGCCTCCCGGGCCTGCTCCTCCCAGGGACCCGGCTCACGCAGCGGGAGCTGTCCCAGGCAGGTGGTGCCAGGCGAGGCTCTGGGGCTCTCCCTTCTTCTGCAGAAGAGCTGGGCGGGGCTTAGGCCTCCCGAGCCACCAGGTGCGTGGGCTCCTCCCCTCCTGACCCCCTTCCAGCTGGTGGCGCTGGTGATGGAGGGCGCACAGATTTCCACAAGTAACTCCAGGGCTCGGTTTGGCCGCTCCCTCCTGAAACGGCTAAAACATGCCCAGGTTCACGCAAACTTCCCCTCGGGAGTAGCCCAGGCGTCCCCTGATGATGTGCTCATGAAAGAGCAGGTCTGGCCTGGCTGCTGTGGCTCCGTGGACTGAGCCCCGGCCTGCGAACCAAAGGGACCCCGGTTCAATTCCCAGTCAGCGCACATGCCTGGGTTGTGGGCCAGGTCACCTGTTGGGGGTGTGCAAGAGACAGCCGATCAGTGTGTGTCTCACACATTTCCCCCCTCTCTCTCTCCCCCTTCCCCTCTCTCTAAAAACAAATAAATAAAAGAGCAGGGTTTGGGATGGGGGCTGCCACCAAGCGGGAGGATACAGGAAGAGGCAGGTGAGTGATGGAGGACGGCCACACGCTCCCAGCCCCACACGGTGCCCCCACACGGTGCCACAGCTGGTCATTAACCCAGCTGGGGCCACCGTGGGTCCCCACAGAGGCCCAGCAGATGGGCCTGAAATGTCTTTCCTACCGGCGGCTTCCCTAAACCTAAGCACGCCCTCCCCCCACCAGGAGACACAGGAATTTCTTCCCCCTCCTGGCCCCGCACAACAGCCCCACCCGCACATGCAGCAGGCACGGACACAGGGGCAGTAATTGTGTGCAGACCAGGAGCCTTTCGCCCTTGGCGTTCTGGAGCCTATCGAGCGGATGAGCTGGATGGGGGACGGGCCAGGGCTGCCTAGGTGTCTGGAGGGCAGGGGGAAGGGGCCCTGGGGGGGGGGGGCGAGGAGCACAGCGTGCTGGCACTCAGAGGGAGCAGGGCCAGAGGTGGCCGAGTTTCAGGTGCTGGCACTGCACCTCCCTCCTCCGTTGACCAAGATAAATGTTATTCTCCCCACTGTGCAAAGGAGCAAACTACGCCCCCGAGAGGCCAATCAACTGGCCCAAGATCAGGACAGGTGTGCGGGGGCAGCATGTCACGCCCGGCTGTGTGGGGCCCCAGCCTTCCCCCACCTCCCGCTGCAGCCCCCAACGATGGCATGCCAGGGCCCAGGTTCCCTCCTCCTCCGAGCAGGCTTCTCCCCTCCCCAGGCTGCTCTGCCCAAGGACGAGGAAACCTGGAAGACCGCCCCCACCCCCACCAGCAGTGCTGGGCGGACAGCGCGGGCAGGGGGGGGTGGCCTGCCAGGTGAGGAAGGCGCGTACACGCAAGGCCGTTCCCAGCAGCCGGGGGCCGGAGGGGACCCCAGCGGTATCGACTGTTGATCCATCACGATGATACATGAGCGCACGTGTCGCAGCGAGACACAGATAATCTGCTTCACGCCGTCTCGGAGCTCCTGGGGGGAGCAGGTTGTCGGCGCACCGCGATGCCATGGTGATAGACGGCCCGTTAATGCCTCTGCGCGCAGAGGGAGCGGTTGAAAGGCTTCGGTCTGTGCCTCCAGGAGTCTCTTTACGACTTGGCATCGGGAGGCGGCCGAGTGCCAGGCTGCCTCAGAACGCGGACCTGGGCACCAGCTCCACTCCTGCCTGTCACCCGGATGCTGTCTGTCCGCCCCCCCCCACCGACCCCTGCACACAGCCCTCAGCCCCCTCACAGCGCAGCTGCTCTGCGGTCTGCAGCCCTGGAGCCTGGGGGCTTGGCCACTGCTGGGCCCCCTCCCACCTGGGGCCCCTCGCCTGCCTGGTGCCTCCTGTTTGTTGGCCTCCCCTCCAACAAGAGCCCAGGGCCCGCACCTAGTATATGCTCAATAAACTCCGCTGCATGAATGGATGGGTGAATGGGCGTCAGGGGATCAAGTGCCTTCCTCCCAGGCCTGCAGTGAAGGCAGGTGCCCGGCATCAAACCTGGCACACAGTAGATGCCCAACTGGCTTCAGAAGGCTGGGCAGGCACCTGGGCTGGACAGCACAGATGTGACCGGGAAAGAAGAAACGGGCACAGGGAAGGGAGGTGGGGCCTCCGGTCACTGAGGAGTTTCTGAGCCCCCGAGCGCCATGCAGCCGCAGCCTCGAGAAGAGGCAGGAGCGGGCCTGGGGCAGGAGCCAGTGAGCCCAGGCTGTGCCGTCAGGGCCTCAGGACCCAGGGCGGCAGGAACCACAGCGCATCCAGAAACCTCATCTTCATCAGAACGTTCCATCTCCTCTCACCCAAGCGGGGGCGGGGCAGCGAACTCGCCAGACCTGGATCCTCGGGCATTCCTTCGCCACGCCCTTGGCTGAGCCGCCAATGAGCCGGCGGGAGGCGGGGCAGAGGACGTGGGCTCTGCTGGCGGAGGGAAGTGGGCCGCTGCCCGGGACCCTGGGGTGGGGGGGGGGGCGGCGCATTTCGGCGCTCCGTTCCCGTCCAGGCACCTGTCAATCAAGTCCATTTACTCCTCAGTGCAACCCCGAGTGGGGGGGTACGGTAATCACTTTTTACAGAAGAGGGCGCTGCAGCACAGGAAGGTTAAAATGAAACTGCCCAAGGTCCCACGGCTGAGAATTGTGTCCAGGGAAAGTGACTGAGGGTGGCCCCAGCCTCTTTGCTCCTAACCACTGCTGCAGCCCATCCCAGTGGCAGGGGTATATACAGAGCAGACAGGAGGGCTTCCTGGAGGAAGCGGCAGCCCTGAAGGAGGAGGAAACGGGGGAGTCCTGAGGGGCCGTGTCCACTTAAAGACTAAAGCTTTCCAAACCGAACCAAAACAGCTGGCCTCTGTTTTCAGTTTAGTTCCGCATACACTTATTAAGTGCCTACTGTGTGCCAGGCCGTGGAAATGCAAAACGTAAGTCCTAGTTTTGCTCTTGAGGCACTCCCTGTTCAGAGAGGAAAACAGACCCCCACGCACACCCCGGCAGGATTTCCAGCCGCCCCAGGGCAGCAGCGGTGAGTGCAGGAGTGTGCGGCCGGCCGGCCCGGCCACAGTTTGGTTCCGACATGTTTTCTCCCGGGCTGCCCTGCGGGCAGCAGGCGCACAGGAAGCAGAAGTGCCTGGGAAGGGGACCACTCTCCGCCCCCGCCCACACCCCCCGCCACGGGAAGTCACTTCCTCCCAGCCCACAGGCTCCAGCGCCAGGAGGAACTCGCCCGATGGAGGGGCCCCTCCCAGCGACCCTGGTGTCTGGGACCCACAGCGCCCCACTCCTCCGATCCTCGGGGTCCCCGCTGCCCAGGGCCCTGGGACACCTTGGTCGCCTCCCTTGTTCCCTTCCATCCTGGTCCTCAAGCTCCCCCGCATCAGAGAGGCCAGTGTGCAGGGCGGTCTCCCTCCCCGCCTACCGATACCCAGCTTGGCCTTCAGGGTCCCCCTTTCTGCATCACAGAGCAGTGGGCCCCTGCCGCACTGGGGGGCTCTGACCACCAGGCCCAGGGGCGCGATTCAGCCCCTGAGAACCGGCTGTGCCTCAGCTGAAGGACACCCGTCTGGTCATGAGCCGGGCTGGCCCACAGTGGTCCAGCCTCCTTGCTCAGAAGGGAGTGAGCTCTCTGTTAGCCGAGGTGTGCAAACCCACCTGGAGGCCGTCCACCCTGCACGCTGCCTGGGCTGCGTGGCTGACCCGGCCCGTCCCCAGAGCCCCTTCTCAGCCCGAGCTGCTCTGTGTCTCCACCTGTTTGTAAGTATTTGTTTCATACCAGACGCCCTTCCGAAGGCTTTCTCATGTGTGGACCACTTCAGTCCTCACAGAAACCTCGGGGGTAGGAGTTGCTGCCCCCGTTTTACAGATGCAGAAACTGAAGTTCAGAGAGTGCAAGCCACCTGCCCAAGGCCACACAGCGAGGAAGCAGCGGAGCAAGGATGTGAGCTCCCATGACTGCGTTTTTAATCAGCGTTCCCTGCAGTTCTCTCGACTCGCCCAGCGGGGCTGGCGTTATGTGCCTCGCCGGACAGATGTAGTGATGGCGGAAAACAGGGTAGGCAGCCTGCGTGGGGCCAGGCGGGGACCAGAGGCGCACCCGGGACCAGAGGGCAGGGCTCCCTGTTGGCCGTGTCCCCAGGGTTAGACCAGACTCTCCTTGTGAACTCGGTTGGGAAGAGCCAGTGAGACCTAGCGCCCCCACGCTCCTCAGCCCCTGCCGGCCACGCCGCTCACAGTGCCGGCGCTCTGCAGAAACAAAGGCGGCGTCATTCTGCAGCCTCGGTTCCGGTTCACTCTGTGCCAAGGCCCTCCTAGGGTCAGGCCCTTGGCACAACGGTGGCCCCAAGAGACGAGCACTGCCCAGGAGGCCCATCCCTGGAGGTCCCTGGTGGCGGGCACGAGGGTCTGGGAGGCCCTGCACTAACCCTGCCACCCCCGTCCCCTCCTGCCACCTCGGACAGCCCCTGTTGTCCTGTGTCAACGGCACCACCTGGTGGCTTATTGGGACACACTCACCTGAGATACCTTCCTCTCCTTGTCCCTTCAGCCTGTAGGGGTGTCGGCTGCCCAGCAAGGCCAGGTCCCGGCTTGAGAGGCAACGGATAAGTGGTGGTGGGCGGGAGGAGGGGGGTGCCGCAGGGTCAGGGCAGGCAGGACCAGCAGCGTGCTGGGGGCTGTGGGAACAGAGAGCAGGACGTGCCAGAGGTGGGACCCCAACACGCCTCTCTAAGGCGCTTCCTGGGCGCCCACTGGAGCCCCCTTCAGAGCACGCCTACTCTGTTCTAACGAGCTGCAGCAGCTGGGAACCCTTTATAAACTCTCCTTGGGGACTATTCCCCAGGCAGAGCCAGTGCCCAGCCACCAGGCCCACCGGTCTCTCGGCCACGCAGTGACAACCGCTCTGGGCG